AGGAGGAGGCTGTTGGATTGGTCTAAAAAATTCTCTCTAACATGTCCATGACCACAGTTTTCACTCCTTTTACAAAAGTTTATCACTGAATTGTAGACACATCTGTGCTCTTCCTGACTGTGGAACTGTGGAAGCAAATGGATTCACAGAAGATGCACAGTGAGCTGCAGAGTGACATGAGGGCCAACCAACTGCCACACTGACTTCTACTGTATGTAAACAGTATTAGGCCGGTGGTCATAATGTTATGCCTGATCGGTGTATAATATCCCTTATAATTCTTTAAACCTATAAACTTGGAGCTTTGGTACAGAGCTGGCCTCAGACACCCCACTAGCATTTATTTTTTCCTGAATGTTTTCATAGGATGGTTCTAGGTATTGGTCTGTTGGTTTTCCTTAAGTCAACAACAGAAACAGTGTAATAACAGAAGAAAAACACAGAGATGGTTTTAACTAGACCAGAGATGAAGGAGGACATGAAAAAAACACACACATGCATAGACACAACACAACACAACACAACACACACACACCCCTGGCAAAGTGACAGAATGTTATTATGAGACATGTCTGCACTTGGAGACATTCTGAGTACATCTCAGTGACCGTCCTGTCATTCACTGCTGCTGCAGGATATTTTCCATTTGTCTTATTGATGTGCTAAATCAAAATCACCCCCCACCTCTCTTCTCAGGGTGTCCACTTTGAAAGCCCCTCTTCAATTAGCAGAGCACAGCCCTATTCAGATGCTATCAGGCAAGGGATAAAGGCAGCATGTATCATTTGTATTGCACACCGCCTTCCATTAATGCCATCTTGTGGCTTTTAAAGAGTCAAAGCTAAAATAAACAAATGGTATTACCATGCTTTTATTTATAGAGGAATATAATCCAGGCTTATGTTATTGTAATGAAATGTTGTCTAGCCAATTGGGTGAAGAGAGCATACATCTATATTATTTTATCACTGGCAGCTGCACTTTGTAACAGATGGGCGATGATTCTTTGAATCAAGCCTGACACTGAGAGATTAGTTGTTATTGAGGGATGGTGCTACTTTAAATAAACCACTTTGTGTGTGTTTGTGAAAGCTCAGATTTTTTAAGGCCCACAAACAAGGGAAAATTGAATATTGAAGCTATCTGGAGGTGACAGATACAGTATAATATGAAAACACTAGCAAGATCTGTAGTTTGCTCTACATTTGTTTGCTCTACATGCTGCAGTGACTCAAATCCGATTCTCCTCATGGATATGTGGACAAACTAAATCCTATTTTCTTTCACAATCCGGGCCACTTGCACAAGTGGTCCTAGATCTGATTCACATCCGATCTCTGACCATGTGACCGCTGTCAGAATGATCAGATTGGAATTCACATGAAATTTTCAACATCTCCCTCCTCTGTGTGTGCACATATCACCTGTCGCCATCATTCAGTGTCAGCCCCTCACAGACTGGTAAAATAGACATGGAGTAGAGCAGGAACACGTACAAGGTCAGTGGAGAGACAAGGACATTTTAGTTTTATTTAATGTTTACGGAGAAGCTTCTAATCGAGCCAGACTGAAAGGAATATATCATAACCAAGCAGTTTTTCAGGGAATTGTGCAATTTGACTGTCACACAATAATGCATCAGTAATTATAATACAATAATATGATACAGAGGAATGTGAAATGTGCCACTCTGCATAATGAGTACCTTTACGTCTAGTACTTTAACTATGTTTAGATGCTAATACTTTTGTACTTTTACATCGAGATGTGTTTCCCCCAACTTGAACCCTACCCTTATCTTAACCATAACCACAGAGGGGGGTTGCTACTAGAAATATGATTTTAAAAGGGGAAACATCCTGACGGGGAAACAGAATCTGACACAAGACCAGAGCTGGATGTCACTGACAAGCATGAATGAACCATGAACAGAAAATGATCAGAGCTTCCAAAAAAGATTAGAATTGAACATTGAGGTCTATAATGTGAATGCAGTGTTTGCGACCAAGAATCATTAAAAAGTTTAAAACAGCAGATAAACATGGCCATATTTCAAAATTATTCTGCAAAGAATGAGCTTAATTTCACTAGGTTAAACTTTTAACTCAAAGTGTATTCAAATATCTCTGTTTTTAATAAACTCTGTTGCTATAAGCATGCATAATTTTTAAATTAACATGTTTATATAGTTGAAAACTTCCTCAAGAGCCACACAACACATTTTCAACACACATGATAATTTTATATTGGCATTTTATAAGGCAAAATATTATAAAAAAAATCTGTCTGCATTATATTTATTTAATTATTTGCATGATGAAAGCCTAAGCAGTGAAAGCTCTCAGTGCCACTTTGCTACAAGGTTACAGTTAATTAAAATGAGATATGAGAGCACATAGTTGTTGAAACTCAAGGAACAAAGGTAGAACAAGTGTTTTCATGTTAAAAATGCCCTGTTCAAAATAACAAAGTTAAAACTAAGATATTCCTCTGCTGTGCTTTTGTTATTTGATAAAATTAGCAAACAAACAATGAAAGAATGAAAAAACAGAGTAGGTCTGTTTTAACTGAGAACAGACTGGTGAAGCATCACTTGAGCTAACCAAATGGTGCTTAGTGGGGTTGCTGCTATTCTCCGTCATTATACAAGCCAGTGCAGTTTGTAGTGTAAGTGCTTTTCCATTAAGCATCTTTTTGTTTATTTTTGTGAGCACAAACTTTTCTTTCAAACATCCTGCATTTACTCATCACACTCATCAGTAGTCTTGTAAACAGCTGTTATAATATAAATCTATTCTCTAATATCATCTCTGTAGAAAGGCTGTACTGAAAGTACCTATAGAGTTTGCTAAGCAACTGACAGAATTCTAATGCCAGGCTATTTTAGGAGAAAAACATTTGCTATCTGGATTTATGAATTTGTGGCTTAACAACTTGCATTGATTCTCAATGCCATCCTGAGTATTTGGGTAATTATGTACAGCTGGGTATTGATGATGTCGGCATTTTTCTCTGGGGTATCATATAGGTACAAATTAGATTCCAAACCCCATGGGAAGCAAAAACAATTCAGTGGAGCAAGGTAATATGACAACAATCTCAAGGTCGATTCTTTGAAGACAGGCTGTGGAGTAGTCTGACACTGTCACAGCTAATATGTTATAAAAACACATGTTGACCTGAACAACAGGTACAAATTTCAAGTTGCATCAAGTGGGAACAGAGTCATAGTGATTAGAGGTCTAAGATTTTTTTTTTTCCCCAAGCTCAACACATTTAATACCAAGCAAGGTAATGTGTGCATTTTGTATTAATCTGTCATACTGATAAGCAAATCAAAGAGTTTTTTAGGCAAATGATGGATAATAGGCTTCTGTTAGTCAAAGACATCTGAAGGTGCCTTGGACATTAAGTGTGCTTCATTTCCTTCTTTGCCCACCTTGTCTTAACGCTGACTGGCTCCCTGGAAATTGTACCTTACGCTTAAAAAAAATGGCCTTCTGTTTTAATTGCAGTCAGAGCTGGATGGAAGAAAAATATAAATTCACTAAATACCAGTGAAATGAAAATGGTATTTCAAGTTATTAAGGATTAAATATGAACATAACATTTTAGTTTATTCTTTTAGAATTGCTAATATACAGAATCATTTAATAATTGCCTTAAAGGTCTAAAAGGTCAATTAAAAACAAGTTTTCTAAGTTTGAATTTTTAAGAATTTTACTGATCTGAGGCAATGCACTGTCACATTCACATTTTTCATAGCAACAGGACTGCAAAACCAGTAACTTTAGTTATTAAGTAGCAAATGGACAATTTGATGGCATGCTATGGGTGTTACTGTACCTGGATATGGACAGCAGACGAGTCAGTAAGGTCGGTTGGCATCCTTTGGCCGCTTTAGCTGTACCTTCAGCCTCTTCATGCCTATCTGAAAGCCGTTCATGGCCTGGATAGCGGCTTGAGCACTGGACGGGTTATCAAAACTCACAAAGCCTGAGACAAGAACACAGAACGGAAGAGAGACAGGGGCAGAGAATAATGGAAGCATGGTGGAGAAAAAGGAACAATACATGAATGAAGAAAAACAACAAGAGATGAAAGAGAAACAGGAAGAAGAGAAAGGGAGAGGGAAAGTTTTGAAAGAAAAAAGAGAGGAGAAGAAGACCCTTTTAAACACTCAACAATGACACAACATTTGTTTTCTCTTTTTCAGCAGATTAATTGAAAATCTCTGAATTAAAAAGATTACATAAAATACCACAAAGGCTAATAACACAGATATTAAAAATCAAACGAAGAAGAGCTATTAGAAACCGGGAGTTTAACTTGAACAAAGAACAATAAAACATGAAAAGGTGTTCAAGGATTAGACAAAAACAAAGGGAGTCTCATGCTGTGTATGGATTTTCAGAGCAAAGCAGTGCCAGTAAATGTTACCTGAGTGTTTGAGCCATGTGGGAGTGGCAGGGCTGAGCGTGTGTGAAGTGTATCTTCATGTACACATGTGACTAGGCATGAATCTGAGTAAAGGGCCCGGAGATTTTGACGAGATGCTAGGAATAACGTATGTAGGGCGGAGGTGCCCGCTGCTCTGAGTTATCACCTGGGTGTCAAGGCGGAATGAACCCACAGCTTTCCACACCAGGACTCCTTACTTGCTCTTATCAGACACCTCTGTGATTGACGGCCCGAATTTTCCACCAGCCACCTGATTTGATCACACCGCTATGGGTCCAATTTAATTTGGAGGGAGAGGGCAGGCTTTTGTCAGTGTGGCTGAGATAAGGCTTGTGCTTTTACAAACCCTTTAAACAAACTGAGCAGGGAAGGGCCTGTCACTTGGCAGTGATCCCCCTCCCAATCCTACAAACACACACACACACACACACACAATCCCCGGCTTTAATGAATCTCCATACCTCACATTTACCTCCACATGGCAAAATGTGATAGGATGCTGGGGGTTAAAGTCCAAAGGAAGGAAACAAAGAGTGCACTGAAAACTTTAAGCTGGAACCTATGCATATTCGAAAACCATAGCAGATTCGGAACATGTTTTCAGTTTCAGCTGTTTCCTTGTGACAAAGTAACTGGCTGATGTTTCATTTCTTTGATGTAGCGCTGACTGTGTGGAGCTGTGCAGCTCAATACCCTGAGCACTAGTAGTGTTTGAGGTATGACTCTCACTGCAGCCATCCATATCAGCAGAATGTCGGAATGCAATGTATCGTTATACATTTTTAATAAAAACACACAAAGTTGCAGACGATGGGGGAAAACAAGTGGAGGACCAGGTTGAGCAGCTGCAAATGTTGCAGTATTTAATTTTTATATTGCCCTAAAAAAGTTGCTCTGTCATGATTCTGTGCACTAATGCTGTTTGAAAACCTGTTTCTGCACCACATAGAGGGGTGGCTGTATTCTAGAGATGAGCTCCTGGTTCAGATAGTCTTGTAGGCTGGGAAAATCAATGTACCCTGCTCTGCTAACTACAACTCGACCCCCTTTGAACAAGTTACTCAACCTCCGGTGATTCACTGAAGCTGCTTAGTTGTCAGAGGTTGTCTTGGGAAGCTCTGACACTGAAAACCTTACAGTTTTAATACATTTTTTGTGATGATTATTTGACATTTACAAATGTTGGGTGAAGATTTGCTTGTCCATTTGTAAAAAGATATGGATTTACAGTGCCTGTTAAAGACTGTTTAAAAGTGTAAATTCATTCTTTTTTAGCTATGTGTGTCATTCCATTCTTGAAAGGCCTTTTGAAATTCATTTTCATGATAAATCCAGCTATTTCCTCTTAACAAGGTAGGCTTTGATAAGTCTTAAAATTCGATATTGAGAGAGTGGATTAAGACAAGTATAACCTCCATAGAGTCCCAGGTTAAATTAAACACAAATATATAGATCCTCACCTACGAATGACTGAATACTCAGAGACATGCTGCTTAAGTTGACTGGTGACTAAATTGCCCGTGGGAGTGTGTGGTTATTTGTCTACATGTCAGCCCTGTGATACACTGGCAACCTGTCCAGGGTGTACGCCGCCTCTTGCCCAATCTCATGTTATGTTAAAAAGTAAAAAGTTGCCTCACCTGAGATGACACAGCAGTTTCCATAACCTGTGTCACTTATCACCTTTTTGCAATTACTTCATTCGCAATATTTTATAAATGTCCTGGATCCTTCTTCATCTCACCTGCACACGTGTTTAAAATCACACCCCTTCACACCTGCACACGTGTCTAAAATCACACCCCTTCACATATACTTGTATCCATTTCATTCACATCACTAAACTAAACAGACATCAGTTTGAACTGGCAATGATATGTTCCTTAAGAGTATACTCCAAATGTTACTCCAGAGATACATCTTTTATAAGAATATGCTTTGAGTACTCCTCCAGTGACCTTTTCATCATATTCACATTTTCAGGCGTTTCTGTAAACACTCCATCTCAAAGAGTGATGTCTGATTATCTCCCCTCAAAACCCCAAAATGTAGTTTATCTGTCTTGTAACAAAATCAGGCCATGCACATATAGCTGGTTTTGATAAAACACACACAAATTCACAGTCTGCCAAGGTGATCACTATGCTAAAACTATTTCATTTAAAATGATTGATAATTCTAAATGTTGGACATACTGTGATTACTAAGATATTTTTAATATGGGGCTTCTTAAAATATATAAATTGTTGCACTTGTATTCAGATGTTGAGTTGAAGGTAATATTTCCTGTCTTTTTCAAATGTTTTAATTAGATAATGAAGATAGTGTTGTGCTGTCCAATGGACAGTGGGAAAAATTAAAATCTAGGTTACTCAAATGCTGACATGCCTACTGGGATGCTGATCTTATAGTTATGAATAATTAGCTTGTCTTAGTCATTTTTCATTTTTCTCCTGTTTGAATACACGTGACTGAGCATTAGAACTGTTCTCTTCAACCCACAGTAATGTTGTTAGCTTTAGGTTAGTTTGCCTGCACTTGCTATCCATCACTGCAGTGTTTTGAATATTTGAGTAGATATTTTTTAACACAAGTGAGAGCAAGGCTATTTTTTGTACATTATTTTGACATTGGATAATTAATCAGCCCATCCATCTGTCTGTTTTCTACACTTTTGCAGTTTAGATACACATACACAAAAGTCTACAGTGCCCATAAACCATATCATCAAGGCTAAACTCACATTTTAAAATGAAGGGTTGCACGTTCTTGTAGGCCTAATAACTTATCCCCTTTAATGCACTGCATCTTCTGCCTAATTTGTTAATGTCTTACAAAAGAGCCCTGGGGCGTCTGCTATAAAAAGGAGGGAGACATGAGTGAAAAAACCCACAAAAGAATCATGAGTTAAATTGCTGTTTTTCAGTCAAGATCTTAATTACCAGCCACGGAAAATAAGCCAGTGAGATTTATGAGGTCACCGCCCCTTTGTCCTTCCCCCTTGTTGACAGACAGATAGTGATAGCATGTGGCATATGCTTAGAAGGGAACACACACACAGAGAGACAGAGAGACCATCCTCAGGTGGACAGGACAGAGAGAAGGAGAAAGCCTCATAGACATGCCTTGTTGAAGAGAAACTGAAAGAAAGCCAATGCTGAGAGTCTCTCGCGCTCTCTTCTGCCTGTCTCCTGGGTGCTGCTGTCCAACTGAATCAACAGCAAGGCCCACACCAGTCTATTATTATCTCTTTAAGCCCATGGATTCCACCTGCACTGCCTCCACCCTGATGAACTGGTTTGCTGTGTGGGAGGCAAGAGAAGAGGAAGGGAGGGATTAAGGTGGATGGTGCTGGGTTGCCCAGCTGGAAGACTGAAGGGTCTGGGAAAATGCTTTTCTCATGGATAAAGGAGGCTGGGAATGATAACCAAATGGATACAGACCATGTTAGGATTGTGGAGGGATCTTTGGGTCAGCCGCTGGAGGAGATTCATGGTGGTGGTAGTGTGTGTGTGTTGGGGGGGTGTCTGTGTGATATTAGCTGACTAGGGCACCTGCCTGCTCCCATCCCCTCTCCCTCCTCACCCCTTACTCAGTGGCATTTAATGCTACCTTTAAAAAGTGAATGCCAACTTGACTGGGTTAGACACTAGACATAAAAGCTACAACAAACACTAATTACTGGAAAGCACCAAACACAGTCACCACAGAAGTTTGTTCACCTCAGTTTTTGTCTGTTTTTACCATCTTTTTTGACTCACCGAAACATTTGCTTTGATTGGTCGCTCGGTCCACAAAGACTTTGGCGGAGATGACGTTCCCAAAAGGCAGGAACATTTGCATGAGCTCCGCATCTCCGAACTCCTGGGGCAGGTGATAAATAAACAGGTTGCAACCTTCTGGCCCTGGTGAGGAGAGAAAGACAACAGTAGGGTTACTTAGGAGTATAAACAAGAGATGCCCAGTGAAAGAGAGAGAGAGACTGATCGTAATAACATAGATGAGGAATGCCTCAATGAAGCAATCAAGACAATAATCCAAGCAACACAGGAGCCATGTAAACACCACATTCTGGCTACATTATCTGTTGTGTTATCTGTTGGCATCTCATTTTTAAGCTCTCACACAGGTTGATTGGTCAGCTCTTTTACTGGTTTCCATATGTATCCTCCAAAGAGCCCCATTTCACATAATAGCTGGGCAGATAGGTGGTGATTCATGTGATATTTATAAAATGTTCTGGCAATAACAGCATACATGAAACCCGCCACTGATGAGCAATAATAGGACAAGTAAAAGAGAAAAACAATCAGAGATAACAGGAGGAAGAAAAAATGTAGAGAGGTTGATTAAAAGAAAATAAGATTTTTCTGGTTGTGTTGAGAAACAGTGAGACAGAGAAAGACAGAGCGGAGGAGGTGGAGGAAGCAGGGCATACATTAAGACATAAGCCAAGTTTTTGCCCCAATTACTGTGTGACAGTAAGACCGTCTTCCATTCTCTCTCCATCCCTCCACACTTATCCACCCAGCTGCCACATAATGTGCAGGACAATCTGGATAAAGGAAGGAATGAACTGGAGAGAGACAGCAAGAGAGAGATGGATCCATGGATGCAGAGACAGAGAGAGAGAGAGAGAGATGTGGTGGACTCGAGGACAGCATGCTTGCAGCTGGCTGCCTGGCTAGCATTTTCTCCTGTCTCATTGCTCAGGGTGATAGCATGACGAGATGAGACTGGAACTGGTGAGAAGGCTGATAAGAGGGCTGCAGCGCTGGCTGGCTGTAGTGCCGTTAAGCACAGGCAAGATAGAGGACACACACACACATATACAGTATATACATAGGTTGACAGAGGGGCTGAATCTTAGTTCTGTTTATTTAGGTGTCTTACTCATGCTTTGAAAAATAGTCATTTGTTCACTGTGGGGAAGTTCTAAGATGCAAAGTGCAAAATGCTGGTTGCATTATTTGTACCAGACACAAGGTTGGATGACTTGGCCACATGGCTTTGGATGAGAAGTACATTTGTATGATTCTCATATGCAAAATTTATCTAGCTTTTTTAAAGCAGACCATCACCAAATTTTGCACATCAGTGTACAGCTCTCGGGGAGTACAACTTCAAAAACTGTCAGAGTTGCACTGTGGGTAATGGAGATGCCAGCTGTTGACAGAAAGGAAGAATGATGGGAAAAACATATCTCTGGTTTTGCCGCACTGATTTTGATACTTTTTTGTGTGTTTTTGGTCCTTTATGAAAGTGAATACATATTATGTGTCTCTCAACACTAAAATTTCAAAAATAAGTTTTGAAATTTGAGTGATTAACAATAATAACATATGCAGGCACAGCTAAACATTATCTTTCTGTTTTTAACATTTGATGTCAAGTCAAACAACCACTGATGTATTGATCTGAAGCTATGCTGTCTTCACCTAAATTATTACACTTGCATTACATTTGGTGGTGATGCACTTTGCCCATTACTTTGCATATAAGACTTGTTATTGCCAGCATGGACATATTTGCTATCAGTGGCATGAAACATGAGCATGGTCGTTACCCTTAAATTCTCTCTGTAGGATAAACTATGCTCTTATTAATTTACTGCAGTAATTAAAAGTTGAGGCATTTTTAGTTTTTAGCATTTGACTGCCTTTCATTACTTTGGGCATACAAAGCATTGATATTTGCTGTGCCAGGATGTGCTGCGGTACGGTACCGTTATCTAACACGTTGCTGTGCTGCCTAGCTGAAGTGAAAAGGACACTTATTTTCAAAAAGAACAGTAAAAATTTGTCTAGTTAAAATTATATTTTTTGATTTGGGAAGATTTTCTCTGTTGTTACACACAGAGACATGGACTGATAGGATGTATTATTGAATTTTATAGCTTTAAGTGGGAGGTTGAACCAAAGGTTTGACTGTGCCTGTGAATTCAGGTTTATGAGTCTCTTGTTAAATGGCAGGACTGCAGACTGTGGCAGTGGACTGGGACAGACTGGGAGAGCAGCCAAAACCCAGAGGAGGCCAGAACTCCGACAGGCCATTGGCACAACCAAGAATAGCTGTATGTGTGTTTGCCTTTGTGCATGTACAGTAGATTTGTCTCTGTTTGTGTTAGCATTATCATGACTCCTATAACCCTTGCCACTTATTAAAATGTTCCAAGGTAGCAATGAGAGATGAGATAGTTATAACAATTGTGTTTTATTTTTGTATGTGTCTAAAAGTATGCCTCCATGTAAAACAAATAAGCTGACATATGAGGATAAGTTTGTGTGTGTCTACACTTTATTCATAGTTCTGCACTGTGACCCTGGCATACACTCACACTACTGAAAAATGCAAACATAAACTATATTTTCCTCCAGGCAGTGCTGGAAACACTTAATTTCAGAGTTCCTATATTGAATATTCATGCCACTCTACGCTGTCTCATACAATCATATAGATGAATAATTGAGACTGACGAATGGTGTCGAAAAGAAAGATTTGCCATCACAGTATATCCTAGGCTTTATTACATCTGATGCTGTGGCATAAGAACGAACACTACACTAGCAATGGTAATAAATGATTATGCATGCAGCTAATTAATCTGATGAATATTTATAACCACTTAAACACATTGTAATGGACTGATTAAGCAGTCCAATGCTGTGAGTTTGAATTAGTGCAGTTTTTGAATAATGACAGAGTAACTTTCCATCTCAACGCTAATGTTCTTCTCTTTAAATGGGGAGCCTTTTTCTCACATTTTCCCCAGCCAGCTTTTCCCTCCCTCGCTAATTCAAAGCAGCGCAGCTACATTAGAATGGAACATGGCAATTATCACCTTTTATCTTGGGTGGGCGCGCTTGCTCACTCTTACCTTCTCTCTGTTGCTGGGGAATGATGGTTGGTTGCTGGGGGAACGCTTGGCTGATTGGCGCATAGGCGGCAGGGTAGGCTGCTGTTGCAAAGAAAGAACCAGAGTGGAATTTTTCTCCATTTTCATATTTGACATAACAAAACTCAAATCATTATTCCATTATTAGTTTGTGTCCTCTAGACATTGCATAAATAAATTGCATTATGACTGGGAGCCTGGGCTCATTTGGCTGGTGGATCACTACACAAGGAGCATGGCTAAAGGGGAGTGGAGTGCAGTTCAACTATGCAGAGGCACAAAGAAAGAAAGACTTACACCATGTTAATAAGAGCTGATGTCAGGCGAAAGGAAGTGGTTATGAGAGGTCTGTCATCTCTTATGTAGGAGGCTATGGCAGGTTCAGATCCTCAGCTCTTGGCATACTTTTGGAATCAAGATTTTTGTGGGGGTGTATAAATAAGTCAAGTAAAAATTATTTTGCATTCCTAATATAAAGTAGCCTCATCCAGAAAGAAATTGGCTGGTCGTCTGCTGTCTCTACTTGTCATAGGGGAAGGAAAAGGACACATGGAGGAAGTGGGAGAGTAGAGGAGACAGGAGAAATGGATCACCTGCGTAATGTTGGATGCCAGCATAAGCTTGTGGGAGAGGGTCAGTCACCGTTGGACTCTGTGCTGCAAAGAGACAAAACAAGAGACAGAGAAGGGGTGACAAAGAGGAAAACAAAAGCAAAACAAAGAGAGGATGTTGAAGACAAACACAGACAAAGAAGACAGAGAATATGTTAAAGACCAAGACAGAAATTGGCTTAGGTGTAGAGAGCCATCAGGGGGTGCGATCACACAGAGTGTGGGAGAAATATGGATTGTCATACCACTCAGTTCTTCAAAATGCCTGTTTGCCCCAGATGTTTGCATCAAATATTAACAGCATGCCAAACAAACCACTTTGTAGTTCATTACAGTTGCAGCTGCCTTTGCATAATGCAGAAACAGGGAGTGTGTGTCTGTCAGTTCTTCAGGAATCAGCCCCAGACAACATTAAGAAGCTGAGGATGGGCTGAGACACATCAAATTAACCATAATGGACTGATGGATGAATTGATGGATTCATCCTGATACTGGGGCTGACTGCTCAGAAATCTGCCAAAGACCCTGCTGATTGACCCTCAAGCTTTAAACGCTTCAGTTCAAATCAGAAAAAGACATCATGAGAGTGTGAAGTGAAAAGGACTCTTGTTAACTTTTAACAGTACCATGTGATGTGATTCAGCTGAACTTGCATCGTGGCAATTAGGTGATGTTCTCATTCAGATCAAGTACAACACTAGAATAATCAAACATTCACAGATCACTATCAGTACAAGCATCTAATCGTAACAAGTGTCGGGGTCAGAGCAACTGTCTTATCACAGTAGATGTTACCAATATGTCTCATGTTTCTTTCATGTAAACCTTTATTGGCTCACCTGGGTAAGGATGAATACCATTGGTATAGATGGGCTCAGAGGTGGGCTGCCCGTTGCTTTGAGGCGGGAGGGCACTGAATCCATTGACCCCGATTGGGGTGGCTATGCTGGGCACGGCTGTGGCAGAGATACCTGGGGGTGTGCTGGTGCCTGCAAATAGAGTCATTATGTAAATTGCACAATGCACACACTTGAAAACAGGGGAACAAGAGAAGTCTGTTTTGTACTAAAATGTACATTTCCTCACAAATATTAGGCTAAAGTGTGATAGGAAACTAATAGATCCTCATGGACCTATTAGTTTGATTTGATTAGATTAGATTTGATTTTAATTTGGTACCAACTGGTACCAAATCAGCTAAAGATACAGTTACTGAAGTCAGTAACAATAATCTGTATAGGTAGTACTCATACACTACCACAATGAAAAATAATATTCTTCTAATTACCTCTCCTGCATGTGGTGATATTCCAGGTCTGTCACCTTGTCAGTGTCCTTTTGCACTGATGGATTTTTGTTTTATTTTTCTAATGCAGGTGAAGGACATTTAAGTCATGTAGGATTATGTTTGATAGACATTGGTATATGTAGGCCTGTGGATTACAAATGCCAGGTACAGCATCGAGCCACTTTATTTAATACATTTGCTGTGACCCTGCCTTCAGGTGGCCTGCCTACTTAGTGTCAAGCCATCAAAGCTCCTCATGATGAGGGTCACACTGGGGTCCAGGATTATCTCACACAGATCTTTGCTCTTATATTGTATAAGCCAAGGACTCTGCGTCCAAAGTCATGGGATTGGCTGTGTTCCCAGAAAACACATGCCATCACACAGGCACAGAGGGAGAGAGTGACAGAAATAATGAGAGAGAGGGAGGCGAGAGAGACTGTAATGCGGCTGCCAATGTGCGTCAAAGACTGTTGTACATCTCCCATCATGCCTTACTCAACACAAGGCCTCACGTTCTTTAATTCAACACAATGTCTGCTTCAGCCCAGAAAATGGAGCCTACATCTTAAAAAATGTAACAAGGGCAAATGCAGAAAGGCCTTGAATGAATATATTACTACTGCTTCTATAATTCTTGCTAATGATGAAAATATCCCTGGCTGGCAGTGAGAAATGGAGAAGTCCTGCACGCATGTGTTAGTGTATGTGCTATGCACCTGGTATTATTCACATTATGAGGACTGTAACTGTTTACACACTCACATTGTGGGGACTATGGCTTCCTCGTGGGTTTGTGTAAATCATAGAATTTCAGGACGAATGACTTTGTTTAAGGTTAGGGTTAGGTTAAAATCAGTGTTAATTTTGTTAACAAAAACTATGATGAAAAAAAGGACTCACCGGGTCTTTGGATTTACACAAATTATGCTAGTATATGCAACGCAATTCGTTCATATTTCCTCTGTTAACATAATTCAAACAAGTTAACCCCTAAAGAAAATTATGCTGGTTTTGCACATTATCAGTGTGTGGGACCGATGTACACATTGCAATCAAGTAAATCCAACAAATCTTTTTTTTTCAGTGTATGATGAAAAATATTCATTGGTGACCTATTTTTCAAGATGGAAATGAAACTAAAACTAAATAAAAAGTAACATTTGATAAGGAGAACTATGATGAAATGCTTTATATTTTTTCGTCAACTTATTAAAAAGTAAATAATAATGTGAAAGACAGACGAATGAAGTAATTTAACAACCTCCCGCACCTGTAGAATCACAAACTGAAGCTTCTGATCAGTAAAATTGTTTCCTCCACCGGCTAAATTATCTCTTGTTTAGGAGTTGAATTAGCCGCTTGATGTGTTTCACTACTACGACATTCTGTCACTGGCATTAGCACTTTTTTAGAAGAAACTGGTTTATTAATCATATTAATCTACAATCCAGAGAATTGTGCACAATATTTGCCGGGACACACTAGGAAAATGCAGCAGCACGCCATATGAAACGGTAAGATAATTTAATATAAAACACTGTCGATGTACTGTAGATGTAACGTCAATATTCCTTTCAGTCAGATATCTCTTGTGTTGCTATCAGTCAGTTCCAGGATTAATATGGGCAGTCAACCATCAATCGTTCTTTAAATGTTCACTGCAAAGATCTCACTATTTTAATGTTATCTGACACATTAGCATCACCTCTCAAGCTGAACCCCCTGAAGAGGGAAATGGAAGTTTAAATTCTACAAAGCAGAGGGACACTGTGTGAATAAAACACTGCTTTCCACAAACCTTACGACTGATGGGAACAACATATGTAACCATGGTAATTGTATACAACCATGATGAAGATTAATCCTACAGTATATATTAAAAATGCAGTTAAAACATAATGAAAACTAGACTAAAATGTATTTAGTGTTTATTGACTAACACTAGACTAAAACTAACAAAAATGAAAAGGCTAAAATTTGAATAAAACTAATGTTCATTTTGTCAAAAGACTAAGACTAAAACGAAATCAAATTCAGGTGTCAAAATTAACACCAATTAAAGGCTGGGTGATATGACCAAAAAATGTTATCTATCTTTTTTATTTTTTATCAGTTTTATGGATGATTCATGATTGTAATCACTGTTTTTTTCTGTCTGCATGAACTTAAGATAAATCATGATTCAAAAATAGATTTTTTAATTAAAATTATATGCCACTCCCCAGTAACTAGGGCCATACAGTATGTGCAGCTGTTGTCCTTTTACATTTGTTACACATTGTAAAGAATAACAGTAGGAACAGCTGTGCAGATTGATCAAAAAGCAGCACTTGAAAGGTGTCGCTATGCATTATTTATTACAAATAAAAATAATTTTAAATAAAGTCAACTACCACTGGTGGTCAGTGACTGGAGAAATATATGTGAAACAAGTTTAAGAGCTGCCCACAGATAAAGAGCAAATGTTTTTTTGTGCTGCCACTGCCACATGCTGTTTGAATAAAGGTTTTACAAACTTCACACAGTGTGGTGGTCTGTTCCATAGTGGACCTTGCAAAACTGAACCATTTCCATATTACTGAGGTAACATGACTACATTTCTTTAGTATTATTTTGTGGTCTCTAGGTCCTGTGGCCGCCATTACTCAAGCACGTTTACTAGCAAAGCTCACACCTACTGTACAGTAAGGACTAGAGTTGGGCAAGTAGTGGTTGTTGTTTAATGTAAAGTCCCTGTGAGGAATGAAAACAAACGTGTGTGTGTGTGTGTATGTGTGCACATGCACTGTGGGGAGTGAAACCTGTTAACACACTCAGAGTGTGGGGACTCTGTAAATCATTGGGTGAATCCCAAGTTTCTTGTATGCATCCATTATTTCATCATTTATGCCTTTTCTTTGTGTTTTAACGCTGCCCATGTGAAATGCAAGGAAAAAATGGACAAAAGAATCAAGGAAACATGAGACATTCTTTTCTATGATTCTTCATATGTAGTCTTCAATCATCCAGTGATTTCTAAAAAAGGGGCGTGTAGGTCCATAAATGACCATGAAGGATGGTCTCATGTATCATTGCTCATGGCTACTCCAGGAGCCCCTTCACTCTTTGATTCTGGCTCCTTGGTGTAGATATACAGAGAGGAACAGAAGTATTTGAACACCCTGCAATTTTGCAAGTTCTCCCACTTAGAAATCATGGAGGGGTCTGAAATTCACATTGTAGGTGCATTCCCACTCTGAGAGACAGAATTAAAAAAACATTTCAGGAAATCACATTGTATGATTTTTAAAGA